GCAGCTTGTACACTGGTATTCTGTGAGAGCGTAGTCCTACATCGGTCGAGCCGACGTTATTACCGTCAAGTATCGTGTATCCAAGAAAGCCAACGGGTATCAGCTAATATTATATAATTGCGAAATATTACTAGGATATAATATTATCACTGACTACAATTGTTGTATGACAATAATGTACTGCTGCGTGGGTCTGGATAAGTGCACAACAACGTCTGTCATTGTGTTTTTCTGTCAAAATTTGAACAGAAAGTGACGGTGTTTCACCCCCGTTCCTTAGAAAAGCACGTAACGCCATTGGTCCTCCGATCTCTCTCCGGCCGTGTCGGTTGCAGCCACGTCAGACTATTAAAGAAAGGAAATAAAAATTGCAACTGTGTTTGCTGCACTCGTGTACTTAATGCTTTACGCATATGACTGTAGTTCGTTGAAAGTAGCTGCCGTAATCGATTTTTTTCTGAAAGACATTGCTGTTTTTATTGTGAAAATCATGAGGACTAGTATCAAGAGTAAGTTTAGTTTCTTATTAGAGTAGTTAGTTTTAGATTTTAGACCCATGTAGTAGAATAAACTACATTTTGATACAAAAAGCCACCAAATTTGAATTAATTGTCTTGTACATGCACTTTTACACAAGGATTACGAATTTTCTTCCTCCTTATCAGTCTGCGATAGTCCACAGCTAGAGAAGGATCTTCCTGTTGTATTGAGCAGTGTTAATTGTTAATGTTGGGTCTTCTATTTTATGAATAGTTATATTATATTATAATTCTCCATATAAAAATCTTTTTTTTATATATATAGGCCGTACAGATACTAACGTGTTCCGTACGGGATTCAAATCTTTAAGGCTGCAATTCATTGCTAAGCTACTGCGCTACGTAGCCGTCATACAATGGCGATTATAATTAAAATATTTCGAATAAAAATCGTGTTAGTACTATTGCCGATTTACCACGTGCTCGACGGTGAAGAAAAACATCGTGAGGAAACTAGCACGCATGCGGAATTAAGTATTTCGAGAAATTGCTATGTTATAGAGAATTAGCAAACTAATTTTACTTTTCTAACTTTTTAATACGTCATTCCATTCATTACAACTGCCCCATAGATTGCCTCATAGAAATATTTGCTATTGTTTTTTTTATTATTATTTTGCGTTGTTATCAGTAAGATGCTGCTGTCCGTCTTATGTTTTTGTTTCCCTCTGTCACCTCTAACGAAGCCCACGTAATGATATGGGCTTGTGGATTGTTTAACGCAAGATAACTCTAAAAATATTGAGTCAAATAAGTAAGTAAGGCTTATCCCAATAATACAATATATTTCTTTTGAAATTAGCTTTCATAGGCACCCAATAATTGAATCGTTCATTTCAAGTCCAATATCGGAGGAAGTAATTCTATCGATTGCCTTCCGCCGGACATCCATTATATTTATTACTTTTCAGAAAGTGTTTCCTGTGTAATGATATCATAATGTCACTTTTATTTTCAACTATACAAAAATGGTATCATAGCGTATTCTAATATGTATATAATTTCATAGAGATTTTAATAATTAATACAATCAGGCGTTACAAAATCTATTATATTAAAAATAAAAGAGGGGAGGGGGGGGGGGTTCTTTTTTATAAATAAATTAACCGGGTTGTTTTTAATTTTAATATTTTTTTTTTTAGTTTGGGGGGGAGGGGGGAAAGTTTTGTGCGGCCCCTCCCTTCTTGGCCGGCCAGAAGCCGCTGCCTGTGAAGGGGGCTTTTTTAAAAAAAAAACAAAAAAAAATATTTTATTGGTTGTAAGTAAAAAAAAAATTTACCGCGGGTTTATGAGGGTTAAATCCCTCCCCCCCCGCGCAGAGTTTGAAAGGTTCGAAAGGGCGGGTTTTAAAAATAAAATATACGCGATAAATTCCGTAAAACTAGTATTATTTCAATTTGTAAAAATGAATTACCTATCTCTTTATAAAAATCATATGTTTTACCGAAGCCAGCCGATAAGACGGAGTCCATTCAATGTCGAGTTCCTAGTTGAAGGCATTTTAAAATTGAGGATGGATGCCACAGTGAACACACATGTGAACAGCAACACCTGCTGGTGGAGATTGGTCTACTCGGGTTTTCAACACTTTTTTATGTTATTTTCTATTTAAGACGCTTTAGTTACTTATGAGTTTATCTCTTTTCATTTTTGATAAAAAATATTGTTATCCCTGTTCATTATTGATCAAAAATATTGTAACATTGGCTTTTATAAACAATGACAAAAATAGTTGGAGTTTGGAGTTTGCTTCACCATTTCTTCTCCGCACAGAATTAAATCATTAAAATGTCAGTAGATTAAAAATATACGTTTGACCAACCAAACTTTAATTTTTATTTCAAAAAGTTTCACAACATTTCATTCACGGAGGCAACGCAACTCCAACCTTATATATTTGAAGCTGCAACCAGCTGGGGGCCATAACCTACGGTAGTCAGATAGATTATCAGTTATTTTATCAATCCAATTTCTTTAGAAATATTAATCCAGAAAAAAAATAATTTGTCTTGTGAAAGGCCTCTTCTTGTCGTTGGGATCAATGTTGTGTCGTAAAGAAGTCTACATATCCGAGAATATATAGAGAGAATATTGCAAGAGTGTATAGGTTTTAAGCTAAGAGCGCTAGTGCGTATTCTAATAGAAGACTTCAAATAGTTGAAAACCGGACAAATACGATTAAGACTTGCGCTCCAAGGATTTAAAATAAACTTAATTATCTGGGTGGTGTGGGTAGATACTGCATCTATCCCGGGTATTAGAGATAAGCTTACGCTAACAAAAAGTCGATTAAAGGACAAACTTACCTTACAATGGAAAAAGTTCAATACTCCTACTGCAAATGAAGCTTGTAATAGCAAAACTGAAAAAAAATGGCTTAGCAGCTTGTATTTATGAAACTTATAAAACAAGTTGGACTCTGATATTTGATGTCGGTTTCATCTTAATATCTCTACACGTTTTTAAGAAAAAGGGTCTTGACAATGGAACTAATGTACGGACACAACATTGATTATATAGCAATTCGAATTTTTTCCTTGTGAGGCACGGAACTCTTATAAGTATTGAAATACGCTTTGATTTCAGCGCGGATATTATTGGCTTCTTTACATTCGTAATAATAAGAGACCCTCTAGAATAGATCTCTCTCCCTTGTAAAAGGAGTGAGATCTATTATCTATATATCAGCAACGGACCAGTAATACCCCTGGTTTTGTATTTGTTCATGTGCATCGGTATTCACTTACTATCAGGTGATCCGTATGCTAGTTTGCCCCTTCTTCTATAAAAAAATACGGTGGTATTGGGTGTAGGCCATCCCTGCAACTTCTCGCTAATTTCAAATGCAGTGCTCCAAATTCCACTTGTACGACAAAAATGGATATAGTTATAATAGATATGTTAGAATAGAATTGTTATTTTTTTAAGAGTTTTTCGAGTTATTTTAAAGTAAAAACACTTTTTCGAGATTTCTCGCAGCAACGATATTTCCCGAACGAATGAACCGATTTCGCTGGGTTTGCTGCAACAGACGTCGTTTTTTTTTTTAAAGCTAATTAGATTATAGAATTGACCAAAACATGGGTGTCAAAGTAATTCCCAAAAACAAATCAATATTAGTAAATTAGAAAAACTCAAATTTTTGAGGTTTTCTAAGGTGCCGTTTCGGTCTAAATAAACGCACGAACAAGCACCCGCGCACGCATACACACAGACATAAGGACATCATCGCCAAAATATTCAGAATAGCTTCCTAGGACCTCGTAACGTCATAGCGGGACATCCGTCGACCGTCACTTTACATATTTATTAAATTTTATTACACCAAAAACCATAACTGCAAACAAACTGCTTTCCTGAAAATACGTACATGCTTTCAAGAAATTTATTGTAAAATCGTAAAAGTTTAAAGCAACGAAAGATTTGACGCTGTCTGACATTTTGTTTGAAACTTTTCAACGCGATTGCTAAACGTTTTAATGGAAACTTTGTGTTTACTGTACGTGAGCATCACTGGAACTTCATAACGAGTCGATGTGTGCTAAGTTCGTAAAAGTTTCATCAATCACAGAGCTGGTGAAAAGTTAAAATCGGTTAATGTTTGGCATTGTGTTTATTTCTACATAATTTTTTATGCAAATTTAAAACTCGAAGAGGTTACAAATTGTCACTTCTACTAGACTGGTATATAAGTGAGCTTTCTTTGGAGGTCTAAAAATTTAACACTTGGTGTCGATTCGTTTGTGTCGTAACCGGTGATAATTGGAAGCTAGTTCCAATACTAGATTGTCAGAAATTTTAATGTCTTTCAATATTTTTTTTATAACATAAGGGTAACAAACGAGCACACAGTCCACTCTTTAGTTTCTCCAAATTCAGTTTCATCTTGCTGATAACGTTAGACAAATGGCGTGATAAAAATATTTTTTGTTAAATTGTTCGTTTTTTGTTTGTTTTTTTTTGTTTTTTTTTTTTGTTTAATTGTTAAATTGTACTAACAATATAAATATATGGAAAACGCACCTACATATACAATCCGAATAACTTACCATGGCAGACCGTACAGATCCGGAATTATAGTAACATCACTAACGTCCAAACGTCAATTCACTAATGATATCTTTTTTGGTACTCGCTATCAATGTAATATTTCCAGGGTCTTGATTTTATAAAAATTGTTTATATAAAAAATAAAACACCACTCATTATAAATTGTTTTAAAATAAACTCTGATTCGCTGTTAAGCGTAAAGTATTTCATATTTTATTTGTTGGTTACATGCTTAAGTATGGCATATTATTGTTTGATGTGAATATGACAGTATCGTATGACGAGTGATGAATCGAGTGCAGGCAAGTTTCCGCGAGCGACGTGTGGAGTGTTCAGTGCAGCGCGAGGTGGTCTCGCGTCCCGCCAGCTCGGCCACCAACGCTACGTACGCGTTGCGCAGGCGCGCTAGCTATGTCTCCAGCCGCCCGCGCGCCGTCGACTCCAGCTCCTTGTTGCGCAGCTCGAGGCGGCGGTCTCGCTGTGGCCGTGCGAGTGGCCGGCTTTGGCCTGCGGAAGGCGCTGCGCCAGCTCGGCGAGGCGCTCTCGCGCTGGCGTGCCTCTTCTGCCGCCGCGTCGCCGCGCGCTGCTGCAACTGCGGTACTTCTTCAGTGGCTCTGCAGCCTCCTCTTCCGCGTCATCGAGCGCGGCGTGCGCAGCTTGTGTCATGGCGCGCACGCGTGTCCACCTCCAGCGCAGCGCCGGCCTCCGCCGCCGCCGCCTGCCGGCAAGTTCGTCGCGCACCTCCTCCTCCTGGTCGCGCGCGCCTCGCAGCCCAGCCAGCTCGTCGCCGCCGCCGCCGCCTGATGGGAACCGTAGATATCTCGATTAAGAATCAAAATGCTGATTTATTGTCACCGCTGTTACAAGCTGCTACTTTAGCGTGGTCATTCCCCGTTCGAGCTAGCAAGAGCGATAATATAGCTGCAGCTTGACTTTTCTACATAAAAATGGTATTAACCATCTCGTTTACGTCAAACATACTATACCCAGACTGACGACAGCACTGTAACTATTTGCCTACCAAGCGATTAAGGCAAGTAGTACCTAAGACAGAAGTTGGCCATTTCCAGAAGTGGATTATTAACAGCTGATAATGAAGATGAAGGGAGTAGGTAGAAGAAAGAAAAAAAAAATAAGTGTACATTTTTATTTCTGCGTATATATCACATTTGTCAATTATAAAACCTTTTATCTTCAAGTAAGTGTGATAAAAGGGCAATCTATCGACATCTAGATAATGTTGCATAAAAGCACCAACATAAATATACTCGATTAAGAACTAAAACGTACATGCGTTCTCATAAGCCAAAGGCATCATGTACAAGTAGAAAGTTATATTTAAAATCCTTCATTCATACCACCATACGTAATATTTCACGCATCCGACCTAATCGAATTGGTTTGTCAAGTAAAATAGTATGCTAATATTTGTTTCCATCAGAATATATTCGAGAAATCGGTGAATAGACTTTTGTTAGACTAAGGCAGGGATCTATAGACCGTACTTTGATTTTGCTCAGACTCTACTTTCAAGCTAAGAAAATGTCGGTATTTTATAGAGGTAACTTTGAAGTCGTGCTGAGTGCACGCTTAGCAAAGCCTAAGTCAACGAAATCGACGACTTACGAAAAACTCAGGATATTAACAAAAACCATCGTATTAATTTTAAAATGTTGTATTTATGTTACTTAAATTATTTGTACCTGTAAATATGTGTGGTTTAAATAGCATTTATCTATTTTCATTATTTTCATTTCTTCCACAATCGCCGAATCAGCAGAAAAAACCAGCATTTTTGGACAAAAATTTATACTAATACAAAATTTCTAAAATAGATCGATCTCTATCTATATTATCTATTATATCGCAATGACCTTAAACAAAACTAAGTTACAGAAAATCCCAAAAAATGTCGGGCCCAAATTATGGAAGCCTAGGAAGGTGGTATGTAGGTAGGACCGGGAGTCTAAGTTCCAAAGCCAATCCTAAAAGATCAGGCATTTATATATATAAAAAAGAACTTAAAATGCACACTACATGAATAACAAGCACATGAATAAACCAAAAGCTTCACGTTTGAAACAGTGATTTGACAGTGCTTGGCTGGCTGACCAAACGTTCGATTTCTTTTTCATATTTTAAAGTAAAATTAGTTAAATGTAAAAATAGCTAATTTATAAAATACAATTTGGATTATTTGTTGATCAACAAATGAAATTCGACGGCTATAGTCACAAAAAAAGCAGTAGCATTTTGTCATCACTATGACTCATTCTTACCTAGCACCATCATGAATAGTAGAATGAATGAAATGTTGGACATATTTTGTTATAGAAGTCAGGGTAATAAATGAGTATAAATGCGCAAGATAAGTAGATGTTATGCCGCAAATCACTAGTATTCTCCATTAAGAACCAAATTCAGATATTTTGTCACTTCCTACAACTTATCATTATGATGCTATTTTACGCTAATACTACCTCAACCACGAAAAATGCTATTCGGTAAATACTTCAAAATATGTATTGGCATTTACACCTTGGATTTAGACTGAAGCACTGATAATGCTGCACTCTACCATTGACTATTTGGGTTTAAAACATAATATAACATCAATTAGTCGCGAAATCTTTCTCCGTTAGATAACAGGGTAAATTGGGTGAACGGCGCACAGATGAGCTTAGTTTTAATAAAAATCTAACGTGTAACGTTATATGTAAGAACACACAAATTCACTACGAAAAAATAACCATTTATCAACTTTATAGAAAAACCATGGCATGGACAAAAAAATCTAAAAATAGTTATTCATTTTTTTAAAGAATAAGGGTGACAAACGAGCATACAGTCCATTTGATGGTAAGTGAATGCTGTGGCCCATAGACATCTACATTAATCCTCGATTAGAAATCAAAATACAGATGCGTTGTCACACCTGAAGACTAAGAAGGAATGCCTCGTTTCCAAAAGTAAAAAGTAAAAAGGGACTCCAGTTCTTTACACTCACCATACCAAACACAGCAGCGTTAAGCTTCTATTTTAAGCTGGATTCTGTGAGAGCGTGATCCTTCCCTGGTAGAGCCATCCCATTCGTGCCAAACCTAAGTTTGTTAAAGGGTCGTTATATTAATATAACAGACAGACATTTCAATATTATTTATATAATATTAAAGCAAATATCCACATCTACAATTTTTAAATGTTGATGTAATTACTGAAATATCAAATATTAACCAAAATTTTCAGTTCTTGTCAGTATGCCAACATTCTAGACGGGGTTAATATAATCTGTTAAGAACTCTCTATTATGTGACTAAACAATTTATGAAAATTTTGTGTCCACAGTGTACGAGAACGTTGTCGAAACTTCAAAACATTTCAGGAACTTTTGCATACGTGAGCGGAAACTTTGCTTTGTTGGCGGTTGGAAAGGAATTTTGAGACAAAATAGATTTTATACACTTGAGGAAATTAAAGCTGTTTTCTTATAAAAATTTTCACTATTTTACCACGTTTTTATAAGTCACTTTCTTGTTTTTCTGTCTGTCGTTCCAGATGGAACTTGCTAGAACTCAAATTTCTAGCACTTCCTGATTTTTTTTAATAAAATATAAAAATATATAGTTCACGATTTATTTAGAACATATATTAAGAAATAGATATAGAAATTTTAAACATAGTTCGGAATCGGATGACAATGTCGGAAAATGGTATATAATTATTTAGTACAAAATTTTTAAAATCTTGTTTGTGTGTCTGTCGTACCGGTTGGAATTAATAATAAATTTTAAACTAAATTACTGATGATCTGGTTTCATATTTTAAATAAAGTTGGTTCTACGCTTAATCTCACTTCTTTCGTTTCGAATTGACTTCCCATCGGAATATGCGAGTGAAGGAATAGGGTACATCTGTGTGGGAAAGGAGAATGGCGATAATGCATGTATTTTGGGACCTCCTTGATGGGAGCACTGATATCGAGGTCGTAAAAAAATATAAAGTAAATGGGAAGTAAGTCTAAAAAAGTCGGAAGTCTGAGAAAAATTTAAAATAGCAAATAACCATAAAATAGAAAATAAGTTAAAATTATTATTATTCATAAATAACCTAATAAGGGTAGATGTTATTGCCCAATTGTATCTGAATCTGAATATTATTTGTATTAATAAGTACACATGACAGATACTTCATTTGTCCAGCTGGGTACATTAGTTGACACGAAGTTCTAAGATTTATTCCATAATCAAACGTAACGGTGGTGCTGTGTTAATACGCGTTTATAATCAAAACCTTTACACATAATAATTTTTGTTTTTTTACCTTGTTATTGCTTGCTATAAAAAGATATGTTGACCAGTTGTGGGGCAATTAAGATTATTAAAGAAAATGCACCTACTTTTGCTTCGAATACAAACAAATAAAAACGGTGAAAGCAATAACAATAAAAAATAATGACAAGGGCTGTCATGTCAAAAAAATATCTGGTGAACAAAGATTGAGCAAGACGACATATTTTTTAATAAATTATAATAGTATATTTCTTTTGACTCCCATATTCTAGAGCCCCAATAATTTTTATATAAACATTGTATAATCTATTAAGTTAATTTTTAAATATTTGGGTCCATTTTCGCCATGGTCCTTTGGTCTGGAGGCCGTTATTTTCCACCTTTTTATTTTTATAGGTGTCCAAGTGAAATTTTCATAATAAAATATCTTTAAAAGGATTAAAGGAAAGCTGTGACTATATCCAACTTAGTAAAGTATAGATTATTAACGACCCCATTAAATAGTTTGTAAAGAGTGAGGGCATTGAGAAATTCAGTTTGAGAAACGGTTATGCACGTTAAAAAATATTACACCTTAAAATTTTATCACCTGCTAAAGTTAAGCGCAGAGCACATGAAGATTGTATGACGAATGGGTTTTGCTTTGTAACTTTGTTTTATAAGCTTAAAATTATAGACATTGAAATATAAAATAAGTGGGCCGCATTCTTGTTATAAAACTAAAGCAACAGTAGCCTAATGGCGGGGCGCGGACCGCGAACTCAAAAAGGTCGTGGATTTGCATCCACCATTCGACTACTGGAGTGAACCACTCGTAATACAATCAATTTAAGCTTATCACGAGCGGTTAAGGAGAATATTAGTAATGTTTATAGCCATTGTTAATATTCTTTTGAAAAAAGAAAAAAATATAACAATTTTTTAAATGTTTGTTTTTCTGTCTGTCCAAGCTTATCTTCATTGTAGTTGAACAGATTGCATGCCAGGGTCCTGAGGTGTAAGCAGTTAGCTATGTTTTTATATCCTCTCGTCAGTCCAAAACCTTCTAAAGGTCGCTATTAAAAAAGTACGCGTCTGACCACAACCTTTAGAAGGTTGCAATTTACTTATAAACTTCAGACACGAAACAGCCATCGTAAATGTGTACGTATCTCCCTCTCACTCGTACAAAATTGTTTTAATATCATTAACCTACTTATTTCGGTATGGAATTGTCGCTATTGAAGTACAAAATGTGCCTTTTTTGTGAAAATTTCGGGTCATCTTAAGTGGCCCACATTATTGTCGAGCTTGTGGTGTAAAAAATGTACGAGTTGTGTTTTTTTTATTAATAGTGTAGTGTAAGTGTAAATAAAATAAATATTTATTGATATAATAATAATTATTATTTTTTACATTTTTACTCAACAAACTGGAAAAAAACGCTTCGAGCATTTTTATCATGGAATTTAGAAAATATAGAAAAGGTGAATGTACACATTTACACATATTCTACTAACTTGCTCAACAATAATT